AAATCAAAGTGCTAGAGGGGTCTGAAAAGTGGCTAAATATAGCGACTAAAGCGCTAAGTTGGCAACACTGGTCTTTGCATGGTTTGTTTTCAAATGGTTTGCTGCTGTCTGTTTGGACCTTTCTGAACATGTGCAGCAAATGGACTGATCCAATATGGTGGACACTGAAGGGGGTGTGTGTGTGTGTGTGTTATTTGTGCACATAATTAATGTGCACAAATAAGGAATAGTTGTATTAACCATACATGTAAACTAACTATTCACTTTGGAAAATAAATATTGAGCTTGCTTTTTTAGTTTGGAACTGTGATTTTTATAAATAAATTAATGATGTAGTGAGAAAATAACCTTCTTATAACGCACTAAATAATCATAAATATTGCTTCTAATTTTTGACTCAACTTTATAAACAGCACCCCTCTAAATTTCCACTCTGTAGCCTTTTTAGATCCTTACTTTTTGCAAACTCAATGGAGAAGTCCGGTCAACTCAGTGAATTAGATCATTCATTTATGGACTCTGGATTTCATTTGTGCCATGACACCCAGAATAATCCAAACATATAAGTCAAACATAAACATTTTACCTCATGTTACATTTTATTATTATCATTCTTTTAACTAAAGCTACTTGGGGGAGAAAGGACAGCAGGTTTGATCCAGCCAGTAGCTGTCTCTAAGGAGTTTGTGTCTTCTCCCTGCAAAGGTATACGTTACCTGCAGAAGTCCAGCTTTTTTTATTATTGGACCAAAGGTAAAGTAATTTAAAGGAAAAGTCCGGTAAACAAGGAATAATCAATGGGTCATTATTTATCGTAAATCCTCTAATATAGAACAGGGCCTTTATTTCACTCAGGAACATCTTGGTCCAGGCCATTATTGGAAGGAGGCCAGAAATAGAGGCAGGCCTCTATTTCTATTAGATCAAAACAGACTACCAGTGGAACGAATAAAAACCAGATTTTGTGTCTCTTTGAACCTATAAAATACTAGCTTATTTTTATTGAAAAAGTACAGTTACCATAACGGTATACAGAACATTTTTCAGACATCTTCCAACAGCTGCAATTTTTCTGCACAGCAATAGACTGGAATCTTGGCCAAACTGACTTGCTAAACAAAGTTTAAAAAAAAATAATGGAAACTGTTCTGCCATCACAGCAACATTTTATTTGAGGCAGGCTAAGTGGAAGTAGGATACCAGTATCATATATTTCAAGGAAAATTCAGAACAACGAAGGCTAATGAAATTCTGTCATTTTAAGGCCACTACGATCTCTGTGTAAGGATGGGACTTCCCATGCTAATGGCTTGGATGCGTTAGCAAACACTCCCCCCCTGTGGTACCTGTATGTTACTATCACAAGTCGTTGAGGACTGCCCAGGACACCGTCATAGCCCCGGCCTGAAGTTTTTTATGAAGTTTATTTCTTGGGAATAACCAGATTTTCAAGTGTGAGAGAGATCTTTGTTTGGGGGGGGGTTTAGTTTCATGGGAGAGAGAAAGTGTTGGGGTGTTTTGGTTTGTGTTTAGAATGATTAAGTCAGAGAGAGCTCTATCTCACTCTCCATCTGAAGGACAATAAATAAAATTGATTATCTTGCAAAAAAATGCTTCCGACTCAGATTCCTAACCTCACAGAAAATAAAAAAGATAATTTTCCTCATGGTAACTGAGGCTCCGTCCACACGAATTCAAAACGAACACGAAACGCTAATATTTTCCAGAACGTTTGTTCGTAAAGACGGAGACGTAAAATAAATGTGATCGTCCACACGAATGCATGAAAACGCTGCAAAATGTATGCCAGGCCTGTAAGTGGCGCT